GTTATTGAGGTGTTGGAGTTTTCCATAAATTCTAGAGATAAGTCCATTGCCAAATATTCTTTCCCATCTGTAGGTTCTCTTTTGACTCGAAAAGTGCTTCTCTTAATGCGCGCATTAGCAGGGTGCTCAGCCTACACAGGACGGGGAGAAGGAGGTTGCCCTTCCTTACGGCATCCCTGCTCCCCAGGCTTACGCTTGTTGAGTTGATTGGTGGGTGGGCGTGCCCAGACACCTCTCGAATTAGTTCCCTTTTTGGTCTTTGTTGTTTGTATTTTGGATGAGCACAGGGAGAACAATTCACATAAAAGACACTGAGTTCCAATTACAGAGGGTAGTTCCGGTTCCAGGCATGCCTCCCACATGCACTTCAGTCCCAAGAATAACAACAGCGTGGCCACCCCTTCCCACGGCCGCGCTTCTGGGGGAATCGTGGAAAGCTTCCGAATCTCCTCGTCCTGACTTACCAGGATCTTAGTGTAGGAGGTTAAGGGGTGGCTCCCACCGTAGCCTCCCACAGCGGGTCCTGTGTGGACCTTTGCTGGTGTACACACACACCCCACTCACTGGGTCTGCATATCTGGGGTAGGGACAGTCTTACAGCACAGAAGGTCCCTTCTTCAAAAACATTTGGGGGCCTAAGTCTTTCTCTCAGGCCTGTCTTGGCCCTGTAATATCCGCATGCTTCTTGAGATGCCTGTCCTGGAACTGCCCTTGTAGGGTTGCCCTGCAGTGATGTGAGGGACCGAGTCCTACCTGACCCTCCTTTGTCGGAAGTGTTACACACACTCTGCTCTCTGGCATCATTTCCACCGACTGCTCACCATGTCAGCAAAGTGACAGTGGCTCTTTCACTAGCAGCGAATGAGCTTTGGGCTCCTGGGTGCTGCAGCGCTCACTCGATCCGTGGTCACTAGGCTGTGAGCCAGAGAGCAGCCCAGGCTCAGGCAGGGGCGTGGAAGCCGGCCCGACCAAGTAGGACCTAACTGGCCTAAGCAGGGTCTGTTCAGAAGTGTCATGGGATGGTGTGTGATTTTCTGCTGAGTAGTGAAGACCCCCATCATTGACGCCCACTAGGAGGTCTTGAAGGAGACCCTGGGGTACAGACCATGAAGCGCCTGACTACTGACTGAAAGGTTGGTGGTTCTGGTCCTGAAGGGTCACAGCCAGGAGAACCCGACAGGGTGCAGCTGTCCTCGGACGTGGAGGTGCCATAAGCCAGACTCTCCGTTGCCTTGTGGCCGGTGCTGGGGTGGCTGTGTAGGACTAAGAACATCAAACGGCGAGTCCATAGGGTGTGAGAGCAGAGGGAGGAGAGGGGTCAGGACACAGGACAAGACCCTTAGCACGGGGGGAGCCCCAGGGGTTAACTCCCAATTCCTGGAATTAGGTGTCAGGTGGGACGTGAACTAGGTCCATGTCCATGGGTGGGGGAGGGGTGGGTACAGCTGGTGTAACTGGGTGCAGGTCAGCATTTCCCAAAACTCATTCCCAGACTACACCCTGTGTGCCACCCAAAGTCATCCTGGGGCCTTCAGGATAAGTAGAAGCTGAGAACATTGGTGGGAGATCCAGACCAGTGCTGCGCGACAGACCTGGGATGATGTACAGGCTGTGACGGCGGCAGAGCTGGGGTGACGTACAGGCTGTGACGGCGGACGGAGCTGGGGTGACGTACAGGCTGTGACGGCGGACGGAGCTGGGGTGATGTACAGGCTGTGATGGCGGCGGACCTGGGATGACGTACAGGCTGTGACGGTGGACAGTATGGCGCCCATAGCCACACAGGGCCACTGAGACTTGAATGAGGGCTCCTGCTTTCAGGGACGTACATTGTAAATTTATTCAAACTTGAGTGTTTGAAGTCAGCTGCCACACGTGACAACTTTCCTAGAACAGAGCAGCCGTCCCCAGTCCTGTGCCGTCCCCAGGACCGTCCACCGTTGTGACTGTCATGTCACCGTCTCATGGAGGGTCTTGCTCATGGTCGCTGACCCTCAGCTTACCCAACGGGACGTCCTCTTCGTGGCCTGGCCTTGTGATGCGTCCAAACTAAGCAAGTCCCGGCCTCACCAGCCTTGCTTCTGGGGAGCGCTGGCTGTGCTTCCTCCGAGGCCGCTCCGCCCGTTGTGCTGGGTCCGCAGGACGGGTAAGGCCTCCTCAGCAGCACAGCTCAGGGGCGCCGTCCTCTGTCTTTCCCGGTGTCTGCTATTTGCCTGCGTGTGAGGCGGTTTATTGAAGTTGCATGACCTGATGGTTAAGTAGCTACACCTGGCTGGTGGCTGCCATGTGGTAGCCAGCTCTGGACCGTGGCGTGCGTGGAACAGAGCTCAAGGATCTGGTGGATGGCGTTGTACTGACCTGAGTTTGAAGAGGGAACTGGCAGGATGGTGCGGTGGCTCGGAACAGACCCTGAGATTAGAGGGGTCATTGCCTCTGCGCCCCCCTCACCGTGTGTGGTGGGCCTCTGTGTCCTCACCTGTCAGCTGGGAAGCACGGTACTCACTGCCTGGGTGGTGCTTCCTGTGTGGCACTGGGGACGGGAGGTGACTCCCTGGCCTGTGAGGGCCACTCTCCAATGGCAGAGTCTCAGGATCCTTAGGGGGAGGCCTTTTGGGGTGCTTTGCTGACATCTTGTCGTTTGGGGACAGTGGAGTCTGGCGCAGTGAGCAGTCTGGGCCCTGCAGGCGGGTTGAGTCCATCCAGCACAGAGCTCGTGTGTGAGGCTCAGGAGCTGGGCAGGCGCACCCCGGTCCGTGCCTTCCGTCACTGACACATAGCTGCACCCCATGGAGTGGGAGCAGCCGTACATAGCATCTGCAATCTGTACATAGCATTACCCATCTTGGTAAGAGTATGCGGTGGTGGCATCGTGCACGCAGACACACACGTTCAGGGACGTTTTTATGTGCAAGGAGAGGGTGGGGTTGCAGGAGGCCCAGGTCCATTCCTGGCCACTGCACAGCGACCATCTGTCTGTCCCCGGAGCCTGCTTGTCGCTCTGATGGTGTGGGTGAGTTTCAGGGAGCACTTCCGGGCTAAGACAAGGAGGAAAGGCATGACCAACTTGTGAAAATCAGCAACAAAGCCCTGGGGGCCACGGGGGGTGTGTGTGCAGGGCCGGGCGGTGCTGTGTCCGTGGTGGGCACTGGGGCCGCTGGGATTCAGGGGCTGGCTCCATGGCTGCTGTGACAACAGCGTGCGAGGGCGTGAAGTGTGCACGGCGTCCACCTGTCCACGTCTGCCGTTGTGTCAGCGGCAAAGGCAGTGGGTGCGGGGCGGCGTGGCCTGGCAGAGGCAGCAGGTCCCAGTTCAAGGCTGCCGTGCAGGAGCTGCACAGCCCGATAGGCCAGGTTCCATGGCTGCAGTCGGGGCCTCTGTGGACTGGGAAGCAGGTGAAGGCATAGGGAGGGCTGCCCTGCATGAGCGGAGAGATGGCCTCCCGAGCTTAGCTCACTTGGGACCTGAGTGTGGGCGTGACTGCCAAACGCCTACAGGTGGGCTCACAGCGGTCTCCTCAGCACATCCTTGGGGACTGACCATCGCTGGACCGTGCGCCCTTCACGGCAGGGCTCTCGTGGGGCTTCAGAAGAGCAGCTGCTGTGGCCCTCAGCCACCCCAACCGCTCAGCTTCGTGATCCTCACGCTTTGCTGTGGGAGACGGTGCCAGTGTCAGTCCCTGACCCTCGCCCCCCAAAATAAGGAGGCCTGACAACTGAATGACCTTCTGTCCTCGAGGTTGCCTGGTGTGCTGGAGCAGGTCTGCTGAGGGGTGGCTTACTGACGGGCCCCTTGGGCAGACCCTGGAAGCATTTTAGTGGCATTTGGAAATGAGAGTCGCAGGAGATCCGGAAGGTGACAGCAGTCTCCGACAGGAGCGGCCCCCACCTGGCAGGAAGGCCAGCCCCTAGGAACCCCAGTGCAGGGGTGCTTGTGTCTGTGCACTGAGCCCAGGGTCTGCCCCAGGGCATGTCAGCTTTTCAGTGTGACGTAAGGACAGAGCTTGGGAGCACAGAGGAGTGTCCCCAGGAAATGGTCATCAGGGAAGAGGGGCAACAGAGGACAGACCATGGCATGTGGGGGAAGGGCGGAGGGGGAGACACGGGGAGATGGGTAGAGACAGAGAAGGAAGGGGCGGGGGCAGAGACGGTCTGAGAGGGAAGAGAGAGGAGAGACAGACAGACAGATGGAGAAAGAGAGACAGAGGGACGGGAGATGCAGCAGGAAGGCGAGAGGAAAAGGACGGAGAGGCAGAGACACAGAGTGAGCCAAGGAGAGAGACGGACAGACAGACGGGGGCCTGTCTTTCCTCTGCCAGGCTGCGGTCTTCCTGCCCCTCTGCCCCCCGGGGTGTGGGGCCTGTAGGCGGGGCAGTGACCACAGAGAAGGAGGAGTGTTTGCAGCAGGAGGTGACCCCTTGCTGAGCGAAAGTCACGCAGACACACCTGCCCCACCTGCATCCCCGCCCTCTCTTCCGCGTTGCTGTCAGCGCCCGGTCCTGTCCTCTCTGCCGGCTCTTTGACGGCGACCCTGTGTTAAGGACAGACTGGCAGAGCTCAGCGAAGGTGCACCAGCAGTCTGCTTCATGTGGTCGCATGCTCCCAGGTGCCATGCATGACAGTGTGTGTCCTTCTGTCCCTCCAGGTCCTCCAGCTCCCCCACAGGATGTCACTGTGCAGGCTGGGGACTCCCCAGCCACCATCCAGGTCTCCTGGAGACCACCTGCACTGACGCCCGCTGGGCTGTCCAATGGCGCCAACGTGACGGGTTACGGCGTGTATGCGCGAGGGCAGAGGGTGAGTCTCGCAGGCTGAGCCCCACGTCCCCTCAGCTTGATCATGGGGAGAGGGGAGCAGCCCCCCCACGCTGCCCTCAACCCCCAAGACGCCACCAGAAAGAAAACAAACACCAGCCCAGCTGCTGTGGCGTCGACTCCCACTGGTGGCGACCGTGCGCGTCACAGCACAGGCTTCTCGGTAGCTGAGTCTGCCACCAGCCTTTATCCCGAGGGCCTCTGGGCAGACGCCTACCAGCACACGCGTGAAAATTCATTGAGTTCACACCTACGTCTGCGTCCTTGGTATAGGTCACGTGTACACAGAAGGGGCCCGTTTACAGAGCTTAGAGTGTCTAAGGCAAGTCCTGATCTGCCCAGGGAATTCTCGAGTGGTAAAAGTCAACGGTAGGATATCGTTTCTTAAAAACAAAAACGGTTTCTGTGGTGGCAGCTCTGACTGCTGGCAGCCTCATCCTGTGTCAGAGAACAGCTGTGCTCTTGTGAACAATGGCCGACGTTTCAGAAGTAGGTCACAGGTCTGTCTTCTGAAGCACCTCCGGTGGCCTTGCACCCCCAGCCCCCAGAGACAGGAGCCCGCGCATGTCCTGTCCCGCCCGTGAGGGCGACGGCCCCTCAGATGCACACTCCCCTGAGGAGGAGGGGCCGCAGCTGGATTGGTGTGATGTGGAAAGCGTTCGTGGCATGCGGCTGGGCCAGGTGCGTGCCCTCCTGTGCACCCAGCTCCCCCACAGGGCCTGCGGGCCATCGGCTCCACCACAGGCCGCCCGTCCGGCCTGTGCCTGAGGCCCGTCCTTCCCTCCAGGGTTAGCAGGAGCACGCTTTGTATTCTGACCCGCTGGCCCCTGCCATTGGGGGCTGCAGACGGCTCACACACCTCAGCAGGCTGCAGGTTCGAGACGTGCCCAGACGTGCCTTGGAAGAAAGGGCTGGTGACCCACTGTCACAGCGGCTGCGAACCCTGTGGGGCGTGGCTCTCCTCTGTGCACTGGGAGCGCCAGGAGTTGGGGCTGTTGTCACGAACTGGTGACTTGGCCTCCTGGGCTGCCGTGGTTGACGGGCCCCTGGTGTGTAAATGTCTCCCCTTCTGTCTCCCAGTCTGACGGGCTGCTGGTGTTTCTGAACTGCTCCGTGAAGGTCGGGGCTGGACATGAACGGGGCTTTGCCCGAGGCTGCCTGGAGGCTGGCTGCCCTGTCCAGGGCGATGCCGGGGTGCGTCTGTGGCTGTGACCGGCTCTCTGTGTGTGCAGGTAGCCGAAGTCATCTTCCCCACGGCAGACAGCACGACCGTGGGGCTGGTGCAGCTGCGCAGCCTGGAAGCCAAGGCAGTGAGCGTGCGGACCCTTTCGGCTCAGGGCGAGTCTGTGGAGTCCCCAGCTGCCGCCATCCCCCCTGACCTCCTGGCACCTCCAGCCCTGCACCCCAGGGCCACGCCCCCACCGAAGCCATCCCCAAGTGCCGCTGCCCCTGAAACCAAAGACGTCCCACCAGGCCGGGCGCCAGCCACACATGGGCACCTGCTGGAGCCCCCCAGCCCGCAGGGCCCCGGCCCTGGGCGACGCTCACCCTCGCCCAGCCGCATCCTCCCACAGCCCCAGGGTGCACCCGTCTCCAGCACCGTCGCCAAGGCCATGGCCCGCGAGGCTGCGCAGAGGGTGGCCGAGACCAGCAGGGTAAGGCTATGCCTGTCGATTCCATGTGGTCGGGGGGGGCGGCCACAGCAGTGGCCATGGGGACCCCCAACATCCAGAGTTCTGTGGCTGTGTATGTGTGTGTACAGTGTGTAGACGTGTGTGCTTACATGTGCTTACACGTGCACACACGTATGTATCTATGGTGTGTACATGTGTGTGCATGTGTTTACATGGACATGGACATGTACTCGGGTATGGTGTGTGGACACATGTTTATGTGTGCACAAATATGTGTATGTACATGGGTGTATGTGTGTATATATGTTTATGGTGTGGAGATGTGAGTGTTTATTTGGGCAGATTTTGTCTATGTGTGGGCATATGTGTATGTGTATACGTGTATGTATATATGTATTCATGGTGGGTAGACACGTGCATGCATGCATGTATGTGTACACATTATGTATGTATGCCTGTGAATGTGTACGTTTGCATGTATTAATGTGATATGTGTTGTATATGTGTGTATGGCTATGTAGAGACGTGTGTATGTAGACATGTACATGTGTATACACGAGTTGTGCATGTGTGTATAGTTATGCAAATATGTGTGTAGAAATGTACATATGTATGTGTGTGTTGTGTATGTGTGTGGTTATGCAGATACATGTGTGTGTTCATGTATATATGTGGACATGTACATGTATATGCGTGTTGTGCATGTGTGTATGGTTTTGCAGAGATGTGTATGCATGTATGCATGTAGGTGCATACCTGTGTATATGTGTCTGTGTATGTACACGTGTTGTGTGTGTGTGCGTGTGAATGTGAGTGTGCCTGCATGCCTCTTACAGAAATCTCCTGGATCGTGAGGAGATAAGGGACTTGGAGTCTGGGGGCTGTGTTCTGGGTCACCCGTGAGGTGATGGCCCCGCTGGGGCCAGCAGATTCCACGGCCTGGAGCTGAGCTGACACACAGTGTCCCTCCCCACCTGGCAGCTGCATCTCCTCTTTGGAGCCTCTGTCCCAGGGCTGCCTTCCAGTACCATGTAACACACATGCCTGTGGGATTCCAGCCTGCAGGTCTCAGGGATGGTGCTGTCAGTCTGTCCTGAGGTGCTGGGGGCTCAGCCTGAGGTCTGAGCAGAGGACAGCAGAGGGAGCGGGGTGCCCATGCCTCACCCGGCTGGCAGCTCCCCAACCCCTCCTGAAAACTGGAAATCCAGACTTTGGGTGCAATCCCGATTTGTTGGCCGCTACTGCTTGAGAACAGACAGCACCTGTCTATGGCCTCTGACTAAGAGGTCCCTGTGGACATGCACACTTGTTCACTCCCACTGCCAGTGGCTCGAACAGGTTCACCAAGCAGGGCGACAAGGGGGGGCTGTAGCGGCTCCTTCCCACTTGCTTGGAGGAAGCCAGGCCCCTCGACCCCAGGCCTGGGCCCCACAAGCCCTTTGGAGGCATGACTGTCACTTTCAAGGAAATGTTCCCTGATAGAATCAGAAGTCAGGGCAGGGTGGTTAGGGGAGGAAGGTGGGGTTTTCATTTGTGTTCACGGGCCACCTGCACAAAGGCAGGGGACCTGGAGGGCCCGGGGAGCAGGTGAGCAACGGCCAAGATGGCAGGGAAGCCGGGGGCTGCCTGGGTGAGGGGCTGCCCTGGCTTGTGTATGCTGCTGCCCTGAGGCTGGGGGTTAGCCGGACAGAAGGCAGACACCTGGAGCCCGGCGCCCCCGGCCCCTCTGTGGACCATGGGGTCTCACCTGGCTTCCCTTTTCCTTCCAAGTTAGAGAACAGGAGCGTGTTTCCAGGGAGGAGCAGCGCCGGGCAGTACGCCAACTCGGACGAGGAGGACGGCTATGGCTCCCCAGACACCAGGCGCAGGGGCCCGTCCGTGGATGACTTCCTCAGAGGCTCTGAGCTCGGGAAGCAGGTGAGCGGCTGGGCGGGTGGCGCGGCCAGGTCCGGCCGCTATCTGCTGGCTCTGCTGCGGCCGTAGCTGAGTTGTCACAGACCCGTTAGCCACCTCCTCCAGTCCACCACTTCTTCCCTTCTGGGAAATTAAAGTCATCCTCGTTAGTTACGGCACCAGAAACAGAACTCACAGTGAACGCGATCTTTACAGCAAAGACGTCTGTGACCCCACACGTCAGAAGTCTGAGAAGCTGCCTCTTCTGTTCTGTCGGCCTTTGGCTCGTGGTTCCAAAATGGCTGCCACCACTCCAGCCGTCACACCCTCATGGCAGGAAGGCAAGGGACAGCCAGGAGAAGGGAGGGGGCCTTCTCAGGCACCTTCCTCTGACCCGGGAGGAAGAGCCTTCCCAGAGGTGCCATCAGCCTGGCCCTTCCCTCTCTCGGGGTAGGCTGGGGCCCCTCGTGTCCCGGGTGGCTTCAGCGCTGGCTGCCCTGGGGCCGGGCCTCCGAGTGTCCGAGCAGAGCTGCGGTTCTCGCGCTGTGGGCCGCGGTGCCTCCCCGGCACGGGCGTCGCCCTGGGAATGGCTTGCGTGAAGCCTCACTGGATGGACGAGGTTACGCTCACAGATGGGAACCGATGCACACAGGGGAAGGGCCCGGTTCAGTGTCACGTGGTGGGTTTCTGACGGCTGGGATAGATCGCAGCCTGATTTTGAACTCTGTCCACTTGTCACCGTTCCACTCCTCACCCAAGAGTGAACTGTCGCGGTCACTGAGGTCCTCAGCTTGCAAAGCCAGGCCTGGGGCTGGAGATGCTCTGGGGACGGGGCCGCATCACTGCTGGGTGCTCATTCGAGTCCTCCAGGTGCTGGCCGGCGGCCAGGAGCAAGTCATGTGAGCCAGGTTGGCCCTCCAGGACTCTCTGTGAAGGGCCCGCCTTCCCAGGTTTCAGTAAAATGACCAGTGCACTTCCTTTAGAAGGCAGGAAGGGCTTCTGAAAGCCAGCCTGATCTTTGTTCCTTCATCTAAAACTTGTTGGCTGTTGAGTGTTCCCCTCTGGCCCGATGGAAAGAAAGATCAGGGTGAGGAGTCACATGCTGATGCGGCCAAGTGTCCCAGGTGAGAACATTGCCGCCTGTCCCCCGGGGCACAGCCACGTGGAACCCTCTGCCTGTGTCTCCAGCACAGCTCCAGGAGTGCTCACAGACTCTGTCAGTCAGGAATCGAGGTGAGGATAGTTCTAACGAGTATGTCACAGGATGCCATCAGATGCACGTCCTTGTCACCCACCAGCAAAATGAAGTGTCCTAATCCACATCACCTGGCACCACATCGCACGTGTGGGTCTGGGCCGGCGACGGAGTACCGTTTGCTCTGTGGAAACTTGTGTTGATTTCAGCACAAGTGACCGGGTAACAGATTGCTTCATTGATAAGGGCAGTGTTGCCGCTGAATTCACGTTGAATTCACCCCCACTGCAGAAGTCTTGAGATCTCTGGCAAGACCTAACACGGGGACGGTGTTGGGCACGCTCACCCCCCAGCGCCACGTACACTGTGCGTTTCAGAGTTTGGGTGCTGGCGAGGATGCTGAGGATCTTGGCGAGCCAAGAGGTTGGCTGTGGAAGTCCCTCTGCTGTCCACAGCCTCTGCCACGCCCTCCCCGAGTGCACACACCTCACCAGTGTCGGGCTGAGACTGGCAGTTTACGCAGATTCTAAGTCCACTTCCCACCATCTCCTTGACCTCCATTGGTCCCCTAGATCCAGGGCACAGTCCTCACCCTGCTGTCCTCTGGCTGAGCCTTCATCTGCCAGTAAATCAGGGAGGCTGAGGGGACCCAGAGAAGTAACGTAGTGCCTGTGTTTGTCACAGGCCCCAACAGGTTTTCTGCCCCTCCCAGTGTCCAAGGTTTCCTATACCTTGCTCTCCGTGGGCTCAGAGCTGGCCCTGTCTCTGCCGTCCCAACTGCGTGCATGTAGCCTGGATGAGTGTGCCCTAGGCCCTGCCTTTGTGTTTCTCACCTCTGAGATGAGTGGCGCACACACATAAATACCAGACACTCATCTTGGCGTTTGAGCTGCATGAGTTAGCAGCGAAGGAGGGGGTCCGAGAGCCCGGGGGGCCTGGGAGCAGCTTCGAGGCCCTGAGATGCTCTTTCCTCTGTCAGCCCCTTTGTTGCCATGGAGACGAGTACCACACTGAAAGCAGCCGGGGCTCCGACCTCTCGGACATCATGGAGGAGGACGAGGAAGAGCTGTACTCGGAGATGCAGCTGGAGGATGGGGGACGGAGGCGGCCCAGCGGGACATCCCACAACGCCCTCAAGGTCAGTGGAGGGGACACAGGCTAGCCCTGGAGTGGCTCTGTCCTTGTCCCTTTTCTGGGCTGCTGAGGCCGGCTCCAGGGGCCTCCTGCGGCCAGCGGTCAGTGCATTTCATGAGTTTCTTTCTCACCACTGAATCTGCGTCCGGCGGCTCCCCACACCCTGCTCTTTGCCAGAACGTCAGGGTGGAGACGTTTGGGGGAATCCATTTGGCACCTCCAGGAGTAACCCTGCGCCATACCAGGGGTTGGTTCTATTGGAAGGAACAGAGGAAAGAGGCTTCCCCTGAGCCTTAAGTTCCGGCCCTGACTTGGCCCTGAGTGTTCCCATGAGCCTCTGAGTGGGAAGTGTGGGCCACGGGGCTAGCCGGGGGTTAGGAGCTGGGTTCTGCTCATGCGGTGGGCGTGAGCGGCAGGAGAGTGGGGAGGGCGGTGGTGTCAGGACAGGAGGCTGGACTTTCTTGGGGGACGGGGGACCCCTGTGCCCAGGCTGGGGTCTCCAGTGGTCTTCTCAGACCACTCCCCTCTCTGAGACCCAGGCATTTCCTCCTGTCTCCTCTGGGCAGTGGGCATCAGGGAAGGTTGTCACTGGAGGTTATTGTCATGAAAATTGAGGGAGGCCACCATCCGGCCAAGTTACAGGCTTCCTCTCAATGTAGCGTCTCTTCCGCCCTTGCCTTTGGGGCTGTTCCGTCACTGCTGCTTTTCACCTGCAGCATGTTCCAGTTCACGTGGGCCTCTGCTTGACGGGTGGCCCAGGCTGTCACTCTGTGGGGGCCAGGCCCTGTGCTAGGCCGGCAGGGACAGGATGCCATTGCCCCCCACCTCCAGCAGCTCCCAACTGGGAGGACCTTGCAGGGTCTCAGAACGGAAAAGGCCTTGGAGAGGAAGACCCCTCTGGGACAGGACTCTCGCTGTGCTATTACCTTAGCATGCAGCCATGCATTCTGAACGGTGCACAGAGCTAGACCCAAACCTGGCTGTCCACCCGGCACCTCCCGGCACAGGCTGCTCCTCCCCCGGGCTCCTCCCTGGCACAGGCTCCTCCCCAGGCTCCTCCCCCAGGCTCCTCCCCCACCCAGGCTCCTCCCCCACCCAGGCTCCTCCCCCACCCAGGCTCCTCCCTGGCACAGGCTCCTCCCCACCCAGGCTCCTGCCCCCCAGACCAACTGACTCATGTTCTCCCACCAGAGGCCTGTAGTGGCCTTGTGATACTATCACCAAAGAACATGGCAGTTCCCCATGCGCATCCTGTGTGGTTGCAAATCCTTGGCGCTGAATCGCCCTTCAGCCCCCAGCAGCTCCAAAAGGGACACTGGTAGGGGTGCGGTGGCCCTTCCTGATGGAGGGGCTCCATGTCTCCCCCTTCCCACCTACAGTGGCCTGGACGAGTCCGTGGGTGCGTGGGAGACGTGTCTCTGCGGGGGGGGGGATGTTTTCATGCTTTATGTGAGCCTTTCCGTGTGGAGGGTGATGGGTGCAGCAGAACCCAGGCGTCACCTCCTGTCATGGGCGAGGCTGGCCCTGGAGGCAGGCTCCCCACCAGCCGCGCCCTGCACAGCTCCGCTCAGCTCCCTGCTCCCCTCAGCAGCAGAGGCCCGGCCCGGCCCCAGGCGCTCCAAGCTTTCCCCACCGCGCCTCCAGCGCGGAACGCCATCTGGGTCTACCACTCTACACAGTCAGTCTCCCCCTGCAGGGACCAGCTAGAGCTTAGTACTTCCCGACAAGGGTGGGGCTGCTCCCAGCCCCCACGTCCACCGCATCTTGCCACGCTCCCGCTGTCCCGTCCTCAGCCCGTTCTCTCACTCTCCCCGCCCTACCCACTCGTGCTCTGCCCACCTCACCTTGCACCCCTCATGCCCGCCCCGTGCACGCCTGTTGTCCCCACTGTCCACTCACACTGTCCCTGCCCCACCCCAGCCCCTCACGCCCGCCCTGTCTGCTCCCGCTCGCCTGGCCTGGCCTGGAAGGCCCTGGGTCGAGGATCCCTCTCCGTAGACTATCGTCTCTCTACTGTCCTTCACCTGGGTCCTGGGCTCCGGTCGGTCCCCAGAACATGCATCTTGGAAGGCGCATTAGCAAGGAGAGCTGTGTGTCGGGGAGCCTCTGCCCCATGGGGTGGTCAGCCGCGTCCTTTCCCACCTTTAGTGAGTTCACAGTCAACACTGTTAGATCACCACCAGGGTCCCTGTGCTCTGGGGGCCACGTCCGTGGGACCGGCCAGTCAGCACCTCCAATGCGCTGTCTGCAGCCTGGCGGGGGACAGGCCGAGCGGGTGAGGCCCCCCGAGGACACGCCGCCAGGGAGGGTCCTTCAGGGTGAAGTCGAGGGACCCAAATGCAAAGAAGACAATTGGTGCTGAGGCACGAGGTCTCAGTTCCCTGAGCGTCTGTCCAGTAGGACTGGGTGGCTCTGCCGGGCACCAGGGGCCAAGGCCGCAGACACAGGGCTCCTGTCCAGCGCAGTCTGGGGCCTAGAGGCAGGACAGACAGAATTGTCTCTGCAGGACTGAGGGAGCCCCGTTGTGTCCCAGGTGCCGTTCTAGGGGTGGGAATGTGGGGCCAAGGCCACACTCAGCCAGGGAAGAGGTGACATGCACGGGGAGAGGTGCAAGGTCCCGGGGTGAGCAGCGCTGAGTGAACGCAGCCCAGCGGACTAGCGGGGCTGCCGGCTCGCCCTTCGCTCCGAGCCTCTGAGGCGCCGGGCAGCCAGGGCCCTGGCCGCGTTCCCTGCGGGCGCACGCAACCGCCCGGCGCGCGTCCTGGGCGGCGGGCCACCCCCGTCCGCAGGTCCCCGGCCCGGCGCAGGCCCGCGTCCGCGAGACTAACGCCTGTTCTCTTTCCTCCCTCGCCCCACCCCGCGCTGCTCCCTGCCGGCCGCACCCCAAGGCCAGCTCTGAGGGTGGGCGCCCCGGAGGCGCGTTGCGGGCGCAGCCCGAGTGCCCCCAGCAGCCTCCCCACGGCACCAGGCTGTTCAGCATCCCCGAGGCCGAGGAGGACGGCGAGCCCGGGGAGGCCGCGCCCTGGCAGGGCGG